CGAGGAAGGATTTTCCTAGGACTCATTTGGGATTTGATCGACCTCCTCTTGGTAACGCTGAATCAGATTTTGATTGTGCTACTCTTCTTTTTCTTTTTATGTATTTCTATTGTTTTCGGGTTTTTTCTGGTTTAAATACGCTGAGTTGATTGGGTCTTTTTTACATTTTTTATAGGTAAATTTTGGGATTGTACTGGTTTTATATTTCATTTCTTTCATGTCTTTGTTGCTTTGGTTCTAAATTCATTACTTTTTTGTCTATACTTAATTATATATATATATAATCATAAAGCCAATAGAATAGACAATGTGTCCACAAAAGTCTTTACCCAGAAGAAAATAAATTATTTTGCATTAAAAACGAAATCTAACGTTTTTACATGTTCCTCCTATGTTTTTATACTTAAATGTTGGAAAATTTTGTATTCATTATCGAAAATAAAACGCAAAAAGTTTTACTTGAAAATTCAGTCAGCAAATAAGTCAAAACAATTTGAGGTTGATTTTTTTCCCTTAAATGCAATTCAATGATATTCTTGTCTAATTTACTAATGCTTTTTTTTATAATATAGTTGCATTTGGTAAGCCGAAAGAATTTTCGCGCGAGTAATTTTGAAGTTTTTCTAAGTCTAGGTTTCAAAGGAAAGTTTCAAATTGTCATGAAGCTTTATTACTTTAGAATCATAACATGGTGATCGTAACAACAATACATTAACGATTAAACACCGTTGCGATACACTAACCATTAAAGTACAAATGCTTTTCATTTTAAATTAACGCAAGTAATTTTACAATTTGCTACATGTCAATACTGATTGCCAATCTAATTGATTCAAATGCTTTATTTTTGTAATCTTAAATTAACTGTTCATTGTGTTCATTTATGCCTCTTTCTTCACGTTTCAGTCTTTCCCAAACTGTATTACAAAAAATTTCTTTAGTAAAAAAAGTATTTTTTAAATATGTTTTAAATTTTCCTATCGATAACCTTAGAATAAAGGAACAAAACTAGACTTTTTTAAAATATGTTCTTTTGTGTCAAAATCAGTTGTATTAGAATTTGGCAGGACAGTTTCCTTTAAATCTTCCACAAAATATTCAAAACATACTTCCTTTTTTTAGTCCAAAGGGATTTGAATCCCGAAGGACTATTAGTTTCGTTTTGGCATTTTGCGTCGGACTCATAAATGTCGGTTCACTTTTCAAACTGTTGCCACAAAATGTTAGAGTCCTGCATTATATTTGAAGAAATTAAATAATGAAAAATCTGCATAAATGTATGTATATTTCTCGTATTGTGATAAAACAACGGTACATAGAGTCATCGAATTTTGAATAACGTAATCCTCCAACGAATATGAGCATGTGGAAGACCAAATTTTGAAATTTGTTTTATGATCGATTTCCTATTTTTTTTTAAAACTTTGACGAATTTTCAATTAACAAACTCAAGGATTTCAAAGCGAGCAATGGCAACGTTGTGCAGAAAAAACATTTTTATCTCCAGCGCGTGAGTCTCTGTATCGGAAATTCTAAAGATATGCTCGTTTTAAAACTATTTTGCGATATTGCTGTTGCACTGGATCTTATGGTTTAAGTGCGAGGAACATGATATTTAATAAAGAAAGGTAACACACAAAATGTTAAAAAACGCCCCTTTGGACGTAATTTAAAATCTAAAACATTTAATTTTTTTTTTTTTTTTTTTTTTTTTTTTTTTTTTTTTGGTCTTTGAAAATAATAGATTCATTTTGTTTCACTATAAATAACAGAATAACTCAGACAAGTTATATCTTACTTTACATATTATATCCCAATCAACAAAGAAAGAGAAAAACTTATGTAACGATTCTTTTCATTCGTCTAGCATTTGCGTCTACTTCAGAAAAACGATAAAAAAAATCATACGTCACTTCTCACGGAAATTACATGTGGATTCGATATGACAAATCACAAATCCTGCGCCTTGCTCATTGGCATAATTTACACAAATAAATATATCAAAGACTAATAATTAGGTACCCTTCACGTTCAAACATCCTCGCTCCGTCTCCCTACGCTATTCAATTGGGCCTTTGTGCGTTATGCTGCAAGATACTGTCGGCAATCTACACTGAGTTAGTGGATGAAAAGCTTCTTACGGCGAAGTAGGACTGGTGCAGTTTAACAGAAAAGGACTAATGTCGCAAGCATGATTACTTTCTACACAAGTTAGTCTCTGAAGCTTGTACAACAAACATAAATTAACTTCAATATGCTATTTCCAATAATAAATTTCAATGTTACAAAGTATGATTGTTTATAATACGAAACTGCTTTGATTTTTGGTGGTTTACTCCTAATTTGAAATTTAAAATCATAATTTCTTTGGCGCCCCTTCTGTTTATTCCTATGAGGCACTCATGCCCTGGCAAGAACCACCTAATTAATAAAATGGTTAGCGAAAGCAGCTTCCGATGCCGATAGAACGAGAGTATGATTTCTGAGTAGAGAGAAGATGTTTGTATTTGTGTTTCTAACCAGGGTAAGGAGAAACCAACGTAAATTCATTTAGAAGGAAATTATTTACCATAAGCTGATGATAGAATAAGAAAGGCATGAAATATTTTAAGGTTTAAAAGAAAAGAAAAGAAAAGGAAGAAAGAAGAAGAGACTCGGTCATTTGAAAAGCTAGAAATACCGTATATTTCGACGTTTGGGGCCAAAGAAACTTCCTCTCAAAATGTGTAATACGCATGGGACAAAATAATAATAACTTCTGTTTACGAACTTCTAACTTCTATTTATGAATTAAGTTAATGATTAATTATGCATTAATTATTTCAAGTAAAACATTAAATAAAAAATAATTAATTTACTTTGGGTCTGAACAGAGACAAATTTGCAATATAACTAATTAGGTTTATCATTGTGAACTCCCGTCATCTAACTTCCCCATCTCAAAAAGACAAAAAAATCGCTTGATCTACAATGTAGAACATAAAATAAACTTCTAACTTCCTTACGGGGTGCTCAAAACAGTCCACGAAATAATAAAGTGCTGTTGCTTAAACGGCGACGGAAACTGCGCCGCTCAAATCTTCACATTGCAAGTGCGCATCCGGATCCATCTCCAGCGATTACCGACAACCAACATTTCTGTTTTTACAACCACTTTTTTATTTATGATCCATAAAGCAACCACCAGCAGTTATTAAGAAAAAGATATTCTGTATCAGTTTTGTTAGCTGTGGCGACGTTGCCCAATTTAAAGAACGCATGCCGCAGATTTTTCCGTCGTGTCGTCTTGTGCCAGTAAACAGCCCTTATTGCTTCCATGAATTGGTGGAATATATACGTTTATGGTGCAACACGGAGGATGCTGTGCTTTATCTATCATAAGAAGAGCCAATTTTCTCGTTTTATTGCTCTTCTCGGAGCCTTTCCCACTAATATTTTGGCTGGAACATGGAACGCTTTGGAGGAATGGAATTTCCGCCTACTTAATTCCTGCTTGGCACGGCTTCGGTGGAATTTATTAATTGCTCCGGGGAGGTGGTGGCAGTGCTTCCAGCGATGTTGGGAGTTCCTTTAGCTTGGAGAAAGATGGCAACGAGAAGGAGAAAAAATTCTTTCCTAGAGCAGTTTAAAGTTTAAATAAATTAGATGAAGACTTATGCGTACAAAAACGCGAATGATTATTCGTTAAAAAAATAAATTGTCTTATAAGCGAGGGACAAGCGAATTGCCGAATTCCTCGGCAGAAGAATTTGCAATTCTTGGTTTCAGTGTTACATCAGCATAGGTTCTGAAAGCGGGTGGTGTCATCTCCCTTTTCTGTCAGTTCTTGTGAAACATGGTTATAATGTTTCAAAAAGCTCAGGAGGGAAAATAAAACTTTAAACGTAAACGCTCAAGATTATCATAAGCTCTTTAAATAATTATTGTAAAAGCTATAAGGCGTTTTCCCTCTCTTTTCCCCGTGCGTTCGTGGTCTAACTGGAATCACACACAACTCGTATTTGAGAGGTCCGGAGTTCGAATACTAGCGAAGGCACTGCAAATTTTACCCGTCTCCAGCATAAAAAATAAATAAAAACCTAATGACTCTGCAAAACCTGTAAAATATACTCCGAAGTTTAACATTAAAAATACAAAATTTTATTGTCTCTTTCATCATACTGTAATGTAACACCTACAAGCTTTACGACTTAATTCCTATAGCTGGGGATGACACAATTTTTTAGCTTGCTCGTAGTTATCATAACATTAAAAAAAATAGAAGACCTAGAGCATTATAAGCATGTTTTGCAACTTTAGCCACACAATAATCATTGTCGTTTATTGAATGGCTAAACTTCGTTTCTTAAAATTTATTGTTTTTACAAATGTAAGAACTACTTGTTGAAAATCAGACATACAGCTTTATTTTTAATAAAATCGGAATATAACAGAAATATTAATTCCTTCCCCTCTTGCAGCTCAATAAGAATAATTTAAAAAACTTTCAAGTATGTTAATTAATAATGAAAAATATGGTACTGGTCCGGGGTACAGGTCGGGCTTTACTGTGCATTTTATATAGAAAATTTCAGAACTATATAAGGCTTATTCAGGAGCTAAAAAAAAAAAAAAAAAAAAAAAAAAGAATGTACTAGAAAACATGTGGCAATCGAAACTTATCTTAAAAACAGGGAAGTGTTACTGGCGAAAAACTGAAGGATGCTGTGAATATAGAATTAAAAATCTACACCATTAGCATTTATGCTCTTAAATGCATTAAGTCCTATCCAAAAATTGCAGATTTTACGAGTACTGCTAGTTGCAGCGAGAAATGAAATAAATGAACATTTTAACACTAGAAAAACTGAAACTTAGTATATACCTATATTGCCCAAAAAGTAGTCAAAATGACTGCACTGTGAAAGAATAACTAATGTGTAAAGAAATTTGTTTAAAATTAATTTTTATATTACTTACAGTTATATAACAAGTTATTAGTAAATATTACAATAGAAAAATTACTTCACTTGGGAAAAAAATAATTTATGCATTATTATTTGTACATTTTTTGCAAATGAAAGTGTAAATCTTTTTATGTGTACATCTTCCGCATACGTACTTTTGACATTTTTCACATATATTATTTGTTTTGTTGTTGTGGCAAAGTCGTACTTGACAAATTTTGCGTTTGTTAGAATGGGTTGCATTTGATGATGTTGCAGTTGATCTTTGTGGTCTTCATGTTCTGATGACTTTTTCTGTCTTGCAGCTCTGTATTCGGTGGAAAGCTGTTCTGCTAATTGAAACAAGAGCTCTTTTCGTTATATTTGTCTTCCTGTCGTTTCTTTGTAAAGGATCCAAGCATTTATAGCAGCCAAACCTAAAATAATGAAAAATATTTTGAGGGGCCATCTACGAGAAGTAGCTTTTACTGTATATTTTCTGGCCATTTGATCCGTCATATCAATTCCAAATTTTGTGCCGTTCTAAAATTGAATAGATACCGGTAACATTTTTTTATTACTTTATCAATTTTCAAACATTTATGCTTAGAACTTAGAACAGCTACTCTTTTATTTGGTTTGCTTTTATATATTGTAAGAACATAAAATTCGTTGATTTAAATAGCAGAGTGGAAAAACGAGGCATGTTATCCTTCGTTTGTTTGGCTGAATATCCTTCGTTTGTTTGGCATTGAATGAATTTATAACAAGGTAGTTCTCTTTTGTTTCTTCTAATAGTACCAACTAGAGCTGTTTTTTGGCCAATAATTTTGTTGCGAATAACATGCTAGTAGAAAAGTTATAAAGTTATCGGTTGTGATATTTTTTCCACAGTTTTGTATATGGCTCGACAAGTTTCAGAACAACCGTGTTCACTGAGATTCGAATAACAAGTACTACTTTAGCTTATTGAGAAACTACAACTTATCAAGTATACGCCCAAATCGACAATTTATCATGTACTTGTATGTTATTATGTGACGATAATCGAAAAAAAATGAAACTGTTATTTCAATACAGAGCCGATCTGGTCATACAGAAAATTCACTCAATTCAATAATAAGAGTCATTTGATTATTTAAATTTCCCAAGCAGTCAAAATGACTGCTTTTGGGCAATATAGGTATAACATATATATATATATACTGGAAATAAAAGAAAGGGGGTAACTACAATTATTAATAAACGCATTTATATGCTGTACAACAAGTCACAAAATTCTAAGAAATTACGTCATTATATACACAACTGTTTCCTAATTGAAATTAAAAAGCAGTCAAAATGACTGCCTAGGGCAATCTAGTGTTAATCCTATATAATGAACAAACACTAAACTCAGTGGCGCAACAGCCTAGTAGGCCATGGCCTGCAGTGCCCCGATATCTGCTTTCCTGACCGTCGGCTCGTCCTGAACAAGTGGTCAAGCTTGTGGCAGGACCCCCCCCCTGGTGTTTTCTCTTCAAGAGAACTACGTTTTCATTTTATCGACGCACTCAAGGAATGAAAGGCTGAGTCAAATTTGACCAGCCCAGGGATCGCACCCCAGACCTGTGGTGCTGCTGGGAATGCGCTAGCCATCGCGCCACTGGGATGATGAACAAATACTCACTGTAAATCTACATCTATGATTTAAAGAAAAGTCAATAAAAAGTATTTTAATTGCGTTAAGTCCAATTCTTAAACTGCTTCGGCAAAGCATATGTTCTTTAAATGCGGGAGGACGTAGTTTTATTTGCTTACATGAATGCCACGAGAATGAGCATGAGGAATTATCGCATTCCCCGGTGCGTGCCCTAATAATGCAAATAGTTAGCAGAACTGGCAATTGGAAAATCTGTGTTTCGAATCTCGGTAAGAACAACTTTGACTTTTCCTGTTTCCTCCTTTGAAAATCTCATAATCTGTACCCCTTAGAAAAATTAAAACTTTAAATCCTACTATTTACAAAAAAGCTATTTTAAGTTTAAAACAGCTAACTTTTACGATAGTAGACTTGTCAGTCAAAATAACTTTACTCACACAGAAATTATTTATTCATTGCTGCAAGATTTTACAAGACAACTTCACTGAATTTATAATACTACATACAAATCCTAAACTCATATTTAATAATATAAGACACTACATAAATGTTAATCTTTAATAAGCGGCTTTATTTAATTCTAGCTTATGTTTAATTTACTAGGACCTTTGAAGACATTTTTAAAGCTGTGAAAGCACCAAATACATTAGGCCTCCATTTCTCCCTCTCGGTAGATAGAACCCCTAGCGAATGTCTAGGTGGCAAACCACGACACTCACCTAGTCGCAGCTCTTCGCTTGTTAATCACAAATACGAAGTTAAGCCTTTCCTCGTATTTCCTGCTTTTCCAAGGCGATAATCAGTCACTATGGCAACCGGCAACACTGGCCACCAAAACCCTGAAGATTAAAGGGGACCCGGAAGAACTGAGGCGAGGTATAGGGGAAAACTAATTAACTTCCTGCCTTGAGGGCCAGATAGAACCGAGGCCGGGAGGCCGTAATCGACCGGAAAATGTTCTTCCACGTACTTAAAGAGACAAGTCAATGGTTGACTTTTCCTTTCTGAATTCTAGCAGAGCAACATAGTCTAAGCTGGAGAAGAAGCCACAGTCTAATTAACATTTTTCTCTTCCTGTCCATCTCACACGAAAGAAAGTTGCAATGTTTAAATTCAAAAGTCTTAAGGGCATATAACTTAATCTCATACCAACAAAATTTAAAGTAAAAGGGAAACCTTCACGAAAACAAAGAAACAGCTATATCTACTCAGAGGCGATGTAAAGCAATTCAAAACAGATTCTCGAATTAACCGTCGTACTACCAGGAACAACGGCCACAGTTAATACAAAATAACAATAAATACAACAGCGGTCAAAAAAAGCCCGAAACGAAGAATAACCTGTTATAATTATCAGAAAATATTATTAGCAATTTACTCGTATTTTTAAGCAGTTTAATTTTGAGAAGAAGTTTGATTAGTTATGTAACTTAAATCCACATTTTTAACAAGGATATACTTTAAAAAAAAAAGAACAGAATAGGAGAAAGAGAAAGATAAGAAAAAAATTTTTGTTTAAATTATTCTTGTACTTCAATATGAGTTAATGAGGAAAAAGAAGATTAATGCCTGCATATTTAATTTATTCATGCGACTTCGTAATTTATTTTTAATTGATGGTTTGATTTCACAATATTTAATAGCTAAATTACATATTGCTGTGATTATAAATAATTCCTAATTCGTGTGACATCACCTGCTATTATTGCTGTTATTTCAGGCAATTTCTTCCCCACCCCCTTTTTTTCCATTTCTTGCAGAAATTTAGCTGCATTCTGATTGTTTCTGATAGAAACTTTCCATCATTTCATAATAAATAAATTTCGCTTTTTCTGAGACAAGCTCCAGTTAATCCGCTTCCGCTTAATCCGGATCTACTGCATTTCACAGAGTTCGTATCAAGGCGATCTCAATTTTTCAGGCAATTCTAGCGTTTTATAAGAGAGATGTGTATCAGAGTAAAAACTACTTTACGCTCCAAGTTTGTATTTATTCACGATATAATATTTAAAGCGAGTGAATAGAAGTGCATAAAACAATACTCTATGTTTTTTTAACCATCCCAAAAATGCCTCTTTTTATTAAAAATTAATAGTGAAAATGAAATTGAAACATTTATTAAAAATAAAATTGGTATGCATCGCTTACATATACGAGTATGATTTTAGAATTACTAGAGCTTAACTTCTTATAATTAGAAGAACCTATGAGAAATTTATAACTAGTCCTATGAGAAGCCTTCAGGAAATGTGAACAAAAATAAATGTGTCATAAAAAATAAATAATTAAAATAAAATAAGTGCGAAAAAAATCCCAAACAAGTACCGGACTTCATCTTGTTTGGGTTTCTGGCAGGAATTATGATTTTCCGTAAAAACTGAGAAGTACCAGAGCTCGCTTTAGTGATTTTCAGCTGAATTTAAGATCCGAATTTTATGTAGTTACAAACGCAACAGCCGCCGTGTTGATATGATGGTAGCGCAGACGGCTGTCATAGCCTTGGGTGCGTGTCTGAATGAGAAAGTGAATAATACACTCGGATACTGTCTTTGCAACTTGGGTGCACTTATAACATTCGGATCTATAACATACTGATTCTCCTGTGGCAAATGGGACGGAGCTGGGCAAATTCGTACCGTCATAAGTTGCCACAATGAAATTCGTGAATGGATCTGATACTACTGTCAGATAAGTTACAGAAAAACAAAAACAACATGCTCAGTAAATAATATTCTGCTGCTCCAAATGCAAAGATCTCACATAGTAGATATTCTTGTAATGAGTTTTAAAAAGGAAAGGTGAGGAGTTCGACTGAATAAATAAGATGAACATATTTACAAAAGTGCATTAAAAAACTTACATTCGTGACCCTACAGTAATTTTTTGTATGTTATACTTGCATAGTCTCACATCTTTCCAGTATAATGGACAACATATTATTCGATGACGGGACTGAAGAGGAAGGGATTTCAATGAGTTTAATTTTTTATTTTTTTTTAAATTTATTAAAAAAACTCCTGCTAATTTTCAATTAAAATTAAGATAGAAGAAAATCGAAAGAAATATACGTCCAAAAAGAACTAAAAATGAATATAAATTTTAACAAATATTAGTTAACAGACATAGCTAATAGCTTTTGAAAATTATTAGTTAGTTGCATTATCCGTCACTGAATAAAAGAAAAAAGAACGACACTTTGTAGAGACATTAGGTTATTTTGAAGCAGGGGCTATGAAAAATGAGTAATACCCTCCCGGGACTCGAACCTGGACCTCTCGAATACGCGCCGATTGTGCTAACCGTTACACCAAGAAGGCATGCAGAAAGAAGGGAGAAAATACCTTATAATCCCCCTTTTAAAGGACGACTGGGGATTAACAGACCCAATCGCCAAATCCTGATGGTAAAGGGTCATCATGCACCACCTTTTAGTTCAGGTGCTACTCTTTATTTATTAGAATTTTTTAAGCTGATACATGAAAAATGAGCAATTCCTCGCCAGGACTTGAACCTGGACCTCTCGAATACGCGCCGAGTCTGCTAAGCGTTACACCACAAACGCATGCAGAAAGAAGGGAGAAAATACCTTACAACTTAAAATTATGCATCGCAATGAAGATTTATACACGAATAATATTAAAGAGCGTACATTTGCTCACAAATTTTTTTACTTATGCCTAATATTTGGTCGATAAAAAATCGCATATATAAGGAATTCAAGTGTGTGGAATTCAAGTACTAGCAATAATTTCCTCTCTATGACAACAACTATGCGCATCGTTTAAAATTTCGATC